CCTCAGTTTTTGTCAGCATTCAAGAGTCTCTCATGGTTTGCCTGTATCTCAGTTTAAATACCATTTCCTCAGGAATCCTTCCATGATCCTTCTAGAGAAGACTATGTTAAATCCACCACTAACCACTGTATTGCATAGTATGTACTGCATTCTAAATAAATAGCTCTGTGATAATTTAGTCATTGTATGCCCCCCCCACTACTATATGGTGAGTTTCTTCACTACCTATTCCATAATTTTCTCTGTATTATTGGCACAGTAAGTTAATGACTTATATCTTTAACACTAGAGACCATTTTAAGACTCGGAGGGATTAAACAATCTTTGTCTCATAGTTAGTAAGTGAGATCTTGCATGTTGAAAAAATTATACTCCATTATAGAAATGTTAACTAAACTGAAATCATTTTCTAATAATCTGCATTGAGTTGGAGTATTTCCTTTTCAGTTTATAGTCATTGTTAGTAAATATTACATTCTAAATCATATTGTATATGAGAGTCTTATCATGCAATGTTGTTTAAATAAAAATAAACAAAAATGGGATTGCAATGCTTCCTGAGAAGGAATAAATCAATGAACTAGACAGAAGAGTCAACCACAATGTGTACTGCAAAAGTAGATTACCTAATCTTTATACCACAGAGTGGTAGCTCAATTTCAAATTCCGGATGGACAGCAGGATGCCTAATTCATGAGGAGAAACTAACCAAAACATCCATTTTGTTGTTCCAAGATTAAAGAAATTACTAGGAATTCTAACTGATTCCCCTTTGGCTATATTTTTCCACTAAAGTCTCTAAAATAGAGACTTCATCACCCCCAAAAACCAGGCGTCAACAATGTGAATTAACCACAAAACAGTGAGAAAAGGTGGTTCTTCACAACTTCCTAAAGCACCTACATGTAATTGGAATTTATTTTCCAAAGATCATAAAGAAATATATTGGGTGCTTGGGTGGCTTAGTCGGTTGAGCATCTGACTTTGGCCTGGTCATGATCTCATGACTCATGGGTTCGAGCTCTGTGTTGGGTTCTGTGCTGAAAGCTCAGAGCCTGAGGCCTACTTTGGATTCTGTGTCTCTATCTCTCTCTGCCACTACTCTCTCTCTCTCTCTCTTTCTCTCTGCCTCTCTTTCTCTCTCTATTTCTCTCTGTCTCTCTTTTAAAAATAAATAAACATTAAAAAATGTTTAAAAAGAAATGTATTTTAGAGGACTATTCACTTGATTAGAAAGTCCCTTCAGTTTATCACCCTTAAGGATTACTACCCCATGTTGAAATACAAATCAAAACCACCATCACAATATCACTGCGTACTGGTAAGAGTGGCTAAAATTAACAACTCAAGAAACAAAAGATGTTGGCGAGGATGTGGGGAATCAGGAACCCTTTTGCACTGTTGGTGGGACTGCAAACTGGTGCAGCCACTCTGGAAAACAGTGTTAATATTTTTTTTCAAAAAAAAGTAAATATGGAATTACTATATGACCCAGCAATATCACTAATAGGAATTTATCCAAAGGATATAGCCGTGCTGATTCATAGGGGCACATGTACCCTAATGTTAATAGCAGTGCTATCAACAATAGCCAAATTATGGAAAGAGCCCAAATGCCCATCAACCGATGAATGGATAAAGAAGATGTGGTTTATGTATACAATGGAATACTACTTGGCAATGAAAAAGAATGAAATCTTTGCGACAATGTAGATAAAACTGGAGGTATTATGCTAAGTGAAATAAGTCCGTCAGAGAAAGACAGATATCATATGTTTTCATTCATATGTGGAATTTGAGAAACTTAACAGAAGACCATAGGGGAAGGGAAGAAAAAATAAGATTAAAAAAAAAGAGAGAGAGAGAGAAGGAGGCAAACCATAAGAGACTCTTAAATATAGACAACAAACTGAGGGTTGATGGGCATGTGGGGTTAGGGAGAATGGGGACAATGGTTGATGGTCACTGAGGAGGGCACTTGTTGGGATGGGCACTTGGTGTTACATGTAAGTGATGAGTCATGGGAATCTACTCCAAAAGCCAAGACTACACGGTATGTTGGCTAATTTGACAATTAAAAAAAAAAAAAGATTTGTATCCCATGTTTACACTCCTGCATATGTAAATTACCACTGGTGAACTTATGCCACTATGAAAGCTAATATGCATTACTATTTATTTGTTGGAGCTTTTGATAAGCCTGCAGATTCTGAGTGAAGTTTACTTTCATGAAAAACAGACAAGAATTATAATGAAAAAGGAGAAGTCAAAGGCATCAGAGATCTCTACTCCCTATATGTCTATCTAGGAGAAGACAGTTAGTTACAGCACCCAGATAACTCCTGTTTACTTCAAGAGTTGGCTACCCACATCCGCAATTCCCAGCCCCAGCTTCGAAGAAAATGAGCAAATCTCTTTCACATCAAATTGTGCCTATATCCCCTTACTACCTCCCAAAGACATACAGAAACAAAAATCAGCAAGTCTGTGTTCTGTTACTTTACTATCATTTTTTAAACTCATATGTCGGCTCTGTCCTAGACCCTATGGATATAAAGATAAAAACAAGAGACATTTCATCCTGCTCTTGAATTTCACTTTATAGAAAATTGTTCACCAATAAGGAGTGTCTGCAAATAGGTGTCCAACACAGTAATGGATCCTACTTGAAACTGAAGTCTTATTGATGAACTTTAAGATTAGATATGTGGTCTTCCACCTTTATTTTCCTGACCAACTCTGCTCTGACCACCAAAATTTTTAGTATGATTGAATCACTCTTCTAAAATAAATACAGACTCAAAGACTTATCTTTATTCACTTTGATCTTTTGGGCTGCTGTAAACAAGTGTGGCCACGTGATTCCAATTCCAAGAGCACAAAGATACAGAGTTCAGCTACAGTATTATCAAATGTCTGTGTTCTACAATGTACTGAATTTTCAAAAATACAAGACCATTTGGCAAAAATTCTCATTAAAAACATTTTATGCACACAATTTTAGAAACTTTAAGTGAGGAATTAGAGATTAAGAAGAAGAAAAAAGTTAGAAAGAAAATCTCCAGGTCTAAAATGTCTATTTGATGGATTTTTGACTTCCACGTTCTCTGCACTCACCTGGGTCCCTGCCAACCCCAATCAACCTCTAACAATCTGTCCTTTCCCTTTCATTGCCACTGCCACTCCTTCGTGTCTGGGCCCCATTGGTTTTTACTTGGAATAACCCCAATGACTTCTTAAACTGACTTCTCTGCACATGGTTTTAAGGGGAGGGAATGGTCACATAAATAATTTCAGCACCATACTTTATGACAGATATGCAGACCCAGAACTTTGAGAACACACTCTTAGGAAAGACTATCATTTCTGTTTTGATCGGAGAAACACAAGAAAGGTTTCCTGCTCCAGAAATCATTGTGGTCTACCAGTGTAAAGATAGCTACTCTTCCTCCAACATTTATAAGATCTATTCCATCCAAGACATGGTCTTAAATCTTTACCCATCTAATCCTCATACTATTTCCACATTTATATATGAAGAAACTGAAGCAGAGATTAAGTAACTTGGCTGTGGAACACACAGCCAGTAACTGGGAGTGCATGAACTCAAACCCAGTATTCTGGCTCCACAGAATAGTCACCAGACTCCCAAAAAGCAGGGGTCTTATATTACTCAGCGGCATATACATAGTGCTTGAATCACTGTAGGGCATGTAAAAAAAAGGGGTTAGTCAAACACCGTTGAAACAACTGAGCTGGAAGAGAAAAGGTGCTCAGATTCCAAAAGGAAAACTACGTACAGTCCCAAACACTGAAAAGAGAACAGGGCATAGTGACAATATAGAACAGACTCTGATTGGCTTGCCTTTCTCCATTCCAAGTCCCCTGCTCTCAACAAGGAGACATTTGTCAAATGCAAACCTGATTGGGTCATTCCCCCCATCTCACTGACTGGAACTTGGAAATTTGAGAAACCCCACTGCAATGTTTCTCAAACGTTTACAGGAAGCATCCCACCCTCATGGCTGGCAGATGAGAGCAACCACATTTTTAAGGATTAGGTACATTTTTAAGGATTAGCCTAAAAAACAGCCAGGACTCTGACCTCTCATAGACGTGCGCCTCACCCTTACTATTCTGGCAAGTCTGGCATTTATTCTACAACGTATCTCTGTTTTGTTGTAATGTAAAAATGATGCTTACAACTACTTATAACTGCAACTCCAGACCAAAAAAAAATAAAATAAAAATTGTATTCCTATCATGATTTCTAGCACCACTTGACGTATAGGTGCATAATTTTGGAGTCTCTCATATCGCAGCTTCACATACACAACAAGGCTATATAGTTCTAACCCAATCTACTTGACAGGACACAGAAGTCTCTTCCCTGCCCAACCCTGGACTTACCAGCCAGCGCACTCTCCCACCTCTCAGGTCAACACAATTATTTGCAACCATAGTAACAAATTTCATCCACCTCCTGGTCTTTAATAATTAGATCTTTGTCGACCTTGAGAAGAGACACCCATACTTCCAAACCCTACTTAGGTGTGTGACTTTATTGACGTCTTTCCTCAAATCTCTTCCTCCCTGCAGCATGGGATACTTGGTAGTACTTCCCCAATTTATCACACTGCTGCCATTTGTTTCCACAGCTGTCTCCTGTACTAGACAGTGTTGTCGGTGGAGACAGACCCTGGTTTCAGCCGGTGCAACATCCCCGGTGCCAAGTGCAGTCCTGCCATATTGGTAAATCTCTGGTCTATAGGAAACTGGGCTCATATTGGGCCCGTAACTCAAACTGGGCTCATAACTGATCCCTCAAAAGAAGGGAGGAGGGTCGACTCTGGAACTTTTAAATTCGAACTGAAAGATCTGAGCACATCTTCAGTCTCGATTTTCTGTCCCGACACAAGGCCGGGTTCCGGGAGGAAGGGACGTTGAGCCCTGTCGCCCAGAAGTCGTGAGAGATGTGGACAGGCGACAGAGGCACTCACCAGCTGGTGGAAGGCGGGTATCTGTTCTCCAGCGTTTTGGTCCAGGGCTTGTACCAGCTGATCTGCTCGGCGGCTTTGCCCCAGAACCTCTCGGGGTCGGCCACCGAGGCCGCGAAGTGGGTCTTGTACTCGCCGCCACCGCCGGCCGACGACAGCGCTCGGCAGCCCCGACCCCCGAGAGCGCCCCGCGGGCCAGGGACCACGTAAGCCCTGCGCGCAGCGCCGGCGCCCGGGGCCGCCGAGGGCCCGGGCAGGGGCCCCCCGAGTCCCCCGGCGCCGGTGACCTTGCGACACTGCAGCCAGGACGGCTTCATCGCCTCGGGCTGGCCCCCCGCGGGCTGCGCGGCGCGCGGGCTGGGAGTGCACTTCCCGGACGACCCCTGGGCGCTGGAGGCTTCCCGCGGCCCTCGGGGAGCAGGCGGGAGGCGCGGGCAAATCTCGAGGTGAGCCCGGGGCCCAGGAGTTTGGAAGTCACACTAGAGTTGCCGGGAAAAGCCGACCTGGAGCGGGGGGTGGGGTGGGGAGGAAGCAGCAGGGGGGAGGTGGGGCTCAGGGGTTGGGGGTGGGAGTGGGGAACACAGCACGAGACTCCAGCCGCTCGGTGCGTTTCGAACCCCGCGGCTCCCCCAGGAAGAGCTGCAGAAACCCTCCCTCCCGCGACACTCCAGCGGCCCTCGGAAGAGGCGGACGCACCCAACTCAGTTTTCAAACAAACAAGTCGGGCGCAGCTTCTGTGGCTTCCGCTTCGGGCAGCGAGCGGGCGGAGGCGTGTCGCCCCTGGCCTGCGGCGGAAACCGACAGTCGTGGGCTCTGCGGCAAGGCCCCTGCTCCGTTTGTGGTATTCGTTTCTTTTTTAAAGTCAGCTCAGCCCCTGGATAGTAAAAGCACAAGCGGCTCCAGGGCAAGAATTGCTCCAGGATTTCATGACAGCTGAGGGGGGGTGGGGGAGGGGGGTGGAGAAAGGTTGCACTGTATTGAGTAGTGCTTCATGAGAGTGATTGACAGGCCGCTGGGACTCGGATTCATCTGCCGCCCGGACTTCCCCAAAGATCTGGGGACGGAAAACAGAAGAGACTTGTTGCATTTCTTCCCTTCCAATTTGCCTCCTTCGGGTTTCTGTGGCTTTTTTTTTTTTTTTTTTTTTTAATGAGAAAAGAAGAACGCCAAAAAGGAGGAGCTAAGTAAAGATGAGGTGAATCAAACAAAAGAGAGAAAGATACAGCTGGGGAAAATTAAAAGAGAAAGGCCCTATAAATTACTCTCTGGGTTTAACATTCTAAAAGCGCCTTCCCTGTTTCTTACACCTTAGTGAAATTCAGATGCGATCTTGTTTGCCTTAGCATTTGCGATTTTAAATGTAAAAGATGTGTATCCCCAAATCAGAGGTGGGAAATAGTGGGATGCCCATGCCCCTGGGAAGGATTGTAAACTTGAGAAGCTGTAACCAGATTACTCTGTAGGAAAACAATAATGCAGAGGTAAAGGTTAAAAAGGACAGAGATAAATCTACTGCAAACCTAAGCAAATTTACATAACCACCTCATTTATTCCCTTTCAACTGAGAAACAAGGCACTAGACTTTTCCCTGACATCTGCAGCCTACTTTATTCCCTCCAAAGGATAGGATTCCAAAGGATGTGATTCCTTCCAATCACATCAAATGATTTCCAATGCCAAGAGTCATTCCCTACTACTTGAACTTAGAGATAAAGCCATTTAACCTCCTAGCCTCCTCCTTTCCTCTGCCCACTAGCTTAATGCTGCTCCCTGGTATATAAAATCCCTTAGCTCCAGACTGTCCCCTACTGTATTATAATGATGCCGAGTTCAGTCATTTGCCTAATGAATGTGTGAGCACCTACACTACAAGATGACGGTTTATTGAGAAAGATTTGAAGGAGGGAAGCAGACAGTTATTGGCACCTACTATGTATACATGTGATGCTCCCCTTTCAAATATGTTAGTGCTTGTGATTCTCAAAGAAGTGCTAAGAAGTAGGAACTATAATCCCCACATTTACAAATGGAGATTAGAGCTAAATTAACTTGCTTGAGTCCATGCAGCTGCCAACCAAAACAGGATTCAAACCTTGTTGATGCTCAGAGCTTGGCAGCCCCTGCACCTTTAAGTACCTGAATGCCCTTGACACTGATCACCACAGCCTCAAAGTGGAGGGCTCCCTCAGGGTCAGTTTGCTCCACTTCTGTTCCTTACCCCAGAATAGTCTACAAATGGTATCATTTTCTCTTAGTGTCATGACTGGAATAAGGTAGGGAATCCCACTCTGAAATCTATAATTTTTGCACTAAACTGATAATCTTCCTATTTAGAGAGACAGAGACAGAAACAGAATGAAACAAGAAGGGAGGGAGGGAAGGAAGGAAGGAAGGAAGGAAGGAAGGAAGGAAGCAAGCAAGCAAAGGTTTTAGACCTCCAATGAAATATGACAAATTGAATACTCACATCCATTCTTCTCCTACAAACGCCACTGAAGGAATCTAAGAGGGGCAGTGGTAGTGGTGATAAAAACCTACAAAGGCAAAGAGAATAGGAGAAAAGAAACCAAATGAGAGAATGGAAGGAAGATGGATTCATGGTCTATGACTTACAGGGTCACTTAAGGATGAAAAGGGTCTTGAATTTAACTGCTTTAGGTGGAGAAAAGGGATTTTCTCTTCAGAAACTTGGAATGTCTCAGGGTTTCAAGGCCCTGGTTTCCTCTGAAGGTTCAGAATGAAGGTTTAGAGCTTAAAAACAAAAGCATTATGATTTAAAGATAATGTGAGGCAAAGTTCGACTCCCACATTGCTGGGTGAAACCATTTTCTCTGGACCTGGCAGTACATGGTCTTATTTTAAGTAATTGTACAAAATGGATTACTTGGGGCACCTGAATGGCTCCGTTGGTTGAGCCATCCAACTCTTGATGTCGGCTCAGGTCATGATCTCACAGTCATGAGATCAAGCCCCATGTGGGGCTTAGAGCTGGGCATGGAGCATGCTTAAGATTCTCTCTCCCTCTTCCTCTGCCCCACCCCCCTACACATGCATATGCTCTCTCAGAGAGAAAGAAAGAAAGAGAGAGAGAGAGAGAGAGAGAGAGAGAGAAGGAAGGAAGGAAGGAAGGAAGGAAGGAAGGAAGGAAGGAAGGAAGGAAGGAAGGAAGGAAAGGGGCCTTGAAAAAAAATAGATTGTTAATGTAAGTTCCAGTTCAGGCCACAGGAAGAACATGAGTGAAGACACATTCCAGCAAAGGCAAGGAGCATAGTGTGCAAGTAGAACATGAGTGAGCAATGAGACTAGAAATTTTTGTTGGAGCTCAATACAGAAGTGCAAAATAATGCCAAGTGAGGACCAGATCCTAAGGATACACATTGGCCTTTAAATTAAGACACTCAAAGCCTATGGACTGGCCACTAAGCTTAAGATCATTAACCATTGAGTCTCATTTTGGATCCTAGTGCTGCCACTTATTAGGTAAAATTTGGAAAATTATTAACTCTCCTACACTGTAATATCAAGTATATGTATTCTGAGGCTCATAATCTTATCTTACAGGATTGTTGCAAGGTTTACACATGTGTACATTGATTAGCATGAGGGCAGTAGCAAACCAAGCTAATTTAGGACAGCAGCCAAGCCTATAAACAACTAACCAAACTTAAAGGTCAACAAAAGTCCCAATTTCATCAACATACTAAAACTTTACAATCAGAAAGTTATGAAAGAACTTATTTTAATTTAAACGTGCATGTGACCAGTCAGTTAAGCATCCAACTTTGGCTCAGGTCATTATCTCATGGTTTGCGAGTTCAAGCCCCAAGTTGGGCTCTGTGCTGACAGGTCAGAGCCTGGAGCCTGCTTCAGATTCTGTGTCTCCTTGTCTCTCTGCCCCTCCCCCACTTGCACTCTCTCTGTCTCTGTCTCTATCTCTCTCAAATATAAATATTAAAAAAATAAATAACTAAAAACTTATATTTAAATTAAAAAAAGTATGGGCGCACCTGGGTGGTTCAGTCAGATGAGCATCGGACTTTTGATTTCAACTTGAGTCAAGATCCCAAGGTCCCAAGATTGAGCCCCGTATCCAGCAGGCTCCATGGAGCCTGCATATGATCCTTTCTCTCTCTCCTTCTGCTCCTCTGTCCCACTCTCGCTTGCTCTCTCTAAAATATAGACAAACAAACATGCATGTATATCCTGTATGGCTTCAAAAACTAAAACTGTATTTTTAGCTAATTTGGGGACAGGTTAAACACAACCTTTTCAATGTTTATACCTCTAAAACTCCAGCTTTCTAATATAAAGTATTTATTTTCTTGTGTGTCAATAAATTGTATATATATTTTTCATTTATTTTATTTATCATTATGATAGGTGTACTCTTTAATCCCCATCCTTTATTTCCCTCATCCTGTCCCCACCTCCCCTCTGGTAACTATCAGTTTGTTCTCTATAGTTAAGAGTGTGTTTCTTGATGTCTCTCTTTTTTTCCTGTTGCTCATTTGTTTTGTTTCTTAAATTCCATATATCAGTGAGATCAGAGATCTCACAGATCACAGATCAGAGATCAGAGATCACACATATACCCCATATCTTTATTATCCATTCGTCAGTAGATAAACACTGACCATAGTTTGTCAATTGTTGATAATGCTGTTATAAGCATCAGGGTACATGTGCCCCTTTGAATCATTATTTTTTTTATCCTTTGAGTAAAAACCTAATAGTGCAATTGCTGAGTTGTAGGTTCGTTCTATTTTTAAATTTTTGAGGAAACTCTATACTGTTTTCCACAGTGGCTGCACCAGTTTGCTTTCCCACCAATAGAGTAAGAAGGTTCCCCTTTCTCTGCATCCTCACCAATGGAAAAAAGACAATCTCTTCAACAAATTGTTGAAAAAACTGAACAGCAACATGCAAAATACTGAAACTGGATGACTTTTTTTACACCATACGGAAAAATAAATTCAAAATGGATTAAAGATTTAAATGTGAGACCTGAAACCATAAAAAAAAAAAAAAAATTCTAGAAAAGAATATAGAAGTAACTTCTTTGGTGTTGGCCATAGCAACTTCTCTCTAAATATAAATCTTGAAGCAAGGAAAACAAAAGCAAAAATAAACTATTGAGACTACATCAGAATAAAAAGTTTCTGCCCAGCAAAGGACACAATCAACAAAACTAAAAGGCAACCTACATATTGGGAGAAGATGTTTGCAAGTGATAAATCTGATAAAGGGTTAATGACCAGTATATATAAAAAGCTGATACAACTCAACGCCCAAAAATTAATAATCCAATTTAAAAGTGGGCGGAAGACATGTACAGACATTTTTCCGAAGAAGACATCCAGATGGTCAATAGATACATGAAAAGATGCTCAACATCACTGATTATCAGGGAAGCGCAAATCAAAACTACAATGAGATTCCACCTCACACCTGTCAGAATGGCTAAAATCAATAACACAAGAAACAACAG